GAATGTTGGGGCAACTCCTGGAGGGCGCCGTGTCTGCCTCTTCTCTCTACGTATGCCTCTCTTTGCTTCTCTGTATCTCTATTGGTCTCGGTGCATAACTAAAATTAGAATACATTTAAGATTTAAAGCCTGGCAATGTGACAGAATTATCTCACAATGCGGTACGAATCAGGGACACATTGATTGGGCTTAAGAGGCAAGCAGGATTTTTGTTTGTGAAATGTTATTTACGCTTTGTTCAGGTGCTAAGTGACTGCAGGGCAATCTGTCTCTGGTGTCTATGTCTGTGTCTGTCCATAGGCCCTCGGTGCGCACAGGCCTCCTCTGCATGTAACATTGGGTGGGAGGGCAGAAGACGTCGAGGTCACGTGGTTGGTTAATGGGCACTCAACTCAGCAATTAGGCTGGGCGCCGATCAGACATCAACACATCTCTGGCCCCGGGAGACTTCTGGTCCAAATAAAAAAAATAGAATGGCGATGGGGGCACTGAGACCCAACAGAGACCCAGTTCTTCTTGAGGACAACTAGTTCTCTGTTCCCCCAACACGTACAAAAAAAATCCCCATTGAGACACACGTCCACCTGACAGTTTGCTTCCTTAGTTAATTTCGGTTGCTCTTGATGCATTCTATTACAATGCCGGTAAAAGGCAGCACCATCGCTCACCACGAAAAGAACATCAATAAATCTGCTACTATATTTTTTTCAGAACAGTCAGCTGATTTTGACACATCCCACAACCATTCTAAATGGCACACGTAGGATGAGTGGCACTAGATAGGAACACATTTGCATTCCATTAGATACGGTGGAAATTGTAATTACGTGACCTGCTGGGGCTGCCGCAGAGCGTAAAACCCATAATTGGATGATCGTGAGTTCAAGTCCCGAACAGGGATCCACTTGGCTCATCAAGTCAACGGTGGTTGTGCCAAGGATGAGAATTGGCTCTCACCATATTCATGTGGAATTTCCACCATACTCTTTGGTTTTTTCGGTAAAAATGTTTTACTGTAGCGTATGCTGGAGCAGTCACACCTGATGACGGATGCTTGTGTTGGTTCCGAAACGTCGTGATTTAATTGAGTTGTTACATTTTTATTTTTTTATTTTATTTTGTTTTCACCTACGTGACTTTGCCGAAAAAATTAAAGTGTATGGATCCTTGCAGGCACGAAAACTTGAAATCTAGAATTTCCACCACTTCTTGGTTCTTTCAGTAAAGTCACGTAGAAGGGAAATAATAAAATAATAAAACATAATAAAATAAAATTCTCACGACGTTTCGGCCACAACGCAAGCAGCCGTCCTCAGGTGAAGAACAGGGCTGTCGGAAAGACATTTGGACGCTGTCTTTCCAACAGCCCTGTTCTTCACCTGAGGACGGCTGCTTGCGTTGTGACCGAAACGTCGTGAGAATTTTATTTTATTGTGTTTTACTTTCATTATTTTATTATTTCCCTTCTACGTGACTTTACCGAAATAACTAAGAAGATGAATCCCTGCAGTCACGAAAGCTTTAAATCAAAATTTCCACCACTTGTACAGGACGAAGAAGATCAACACTGCTCCCAAGTTTATTGAGCAGGGAGATATTTTGCCCGTTCCAGCTAAAACTAGTTCTTCCAAAATAAATGTAATTCTATCACCGATTCAGCTATGAGTTAAGTGTAGTTAGCAAGCACCTTAAGACGAACACTGCACATCAAGTTGCAGCCAGAGCAGTGTATGCCTGACTGTCTTTGTCTCTTCACTTCCAATGCTGATCATGCCACATTAGGTATTGATTTTAGACCGAGTTGAAGCTAAAAACTATTTTTACTTCACCAGGTAAGGTCCACTGAGCTATATCGCTCTTTTTTACAAGCGACCTGGACGTAAATGATAGCTCACCGAAGTGGCGTATCGTGTGGAAATGTAAAGCAGCCAAATATTCTAAAATCATGTTTCTAAACGTGGAGGGGAAAAACTGGAGGACCCGGAGAAAAATCCACATGACCACGTGGAAAACATGCAAACTCCAAATAAACAGCATGTGTCAGAGTCGGGATCAAGCCCATGACCTCCTGTATACCAGGCGAGGTATTTAGCATCTCATAATAAAAGTTGTTGGGTGAGATGGCGTACGTATAAACGTGTCGCAACCCTCCACTACCTGACACAGCCATTAAGGTTTGTCACGTAAACAACGCGTGCCAATTAGTTACTACTTCAGCCCAGACGGTGTGTTGGAGAGTAAATCCACAACAGATACAATATACAGTAAAACCTTGGATTGCGAGTAACTTGGTCTGCGAGTGTTTTGCAAGACGAGCAAATTTTTTAATACATTTAAATTTGATAAACGAGCGAGGTCTTGCAATACGAGTAGTACGTGTATACGCTTTGTCTGCCGAGCGTCACGTGATCACAACTGATATACGAGTGCTTTGATATACGAGTGCTTTTGGATTACAATCACGTTTCTGGAACGAATTATGCTCGCAATCCAAGGTTTTACTGTATTATCATCTTGCCACCGTGGCACCCCCTAGGGGAGGCCAAGAGCACTGGGCAGTACCACAGCCTTTGTCTTCTCCTGCCACTATGAGCAAACCATAGCAAGCAGGAAGTCATTTAAGGCTGAGTCAACGTAAGGACTGGATGATACCAGCAGGTGGCATGAAAGCAAAGTCAATAGGAACACAGCACAAAGCACATGAACCACTCTGACACCAGCCCGCACACAGATGCACAGAGACACACAAACACACAAGCTGCTGCCCCTATCCCCCCCCCCCCAACATGCCACATCTCATCATCAGGCACTGCCAGGCTATTAAATATTCCAAGGATCGGATTAAGCTTTAAGAGAGAAGAAAGGGGGGGAAACCCAATGGTCTGTGACCAATGGGGAAACTGTCTCGGCACGATATGGCGTGCCGGTGAATTTGCAGTATTTCATGAGCATTGGCTCATTTATTTGCGATGCTAAACGACCAAGAAAATGCATCCCCACAGCCAAAACACCTCCAGCATTGTCAGCTCTTTGTTGTTATTTGCGATCTGGGCGTTTGTTTGTTTGTTTTCTGAGCGTGGAGGTTCACACCTTTAATCTAAGCTACCTGGAGGTGGGTTTGGTGGATGACACTGGAGATCATTGTACGTGCAATGAACCAGATTGTAAGGCTAACGATGTCGCCAACTGACGATTGAGTCCAGCCGAATAGCTTTGCAGGTCAAGAATCGTGGCAACTTGTACAGATGGGTGGAACAGTTGCCTTAAGACAAATATACATTGACTTAATACATTAACCTGTCCAATGCAGCATACGTATGAATGATGAGCTGGAGTGGTTATCAAGAAGATGTCCTTTCGGAACTCCTGCATTGCACCAGGGATTAGACCCGGAAGATAACTCCACACTCATGAGTGGACTTGCGCAAATAAGAAGGGATTTTGTATCATGGTAAAAACGTCTCTCTAGTCCACACTGGTTGAATGTTATGAATAAGATTGATAGCTACTGCCAGAAACATGCTGGTGGCCAGCAGTAGCTATCAAACTTTTCAGAGAAACTTGAAAAGAAATTGGACAAATAAACACATGAAACGTTCGTAGAAATATCATTCACCACCATTTTTTGCCGACGACATGAGTACAGTAGAACCCCTCTAAACAAGGGTAATTCTTTATATGTGAAAAATTCTTGCTGTGGATTTCACACCTGATGATTGCTTGTGTTGCAGTCGAAACATCGTGAGAATTTTTATTGTTATATATTTATATTATTTTATTATTTCCCTTCTACGTGACTTTACCGAAAGAACCAAGAATATGAATCCCTGCAGTCACGAAAGCTTTAAATCAAGCCTTCAAACTAAACGGGAAGTATTCCATCTGACACCGTGACGTAGAAGCGCAGGGCCCCCAAAAGTGTGGGGCCCAGGGCAGTCGCTCCGATTAGACGTACCCTAGGGTGGTCTCTGCATGAACACATCTATTCAGACGTCCCTTCCTATAAAATCTACAATAAAAAAAGAAAACTGTTTCTTGATTTATTATTCGTTTTATTTACTTCTTACCTTTCCTTATGCTATTAGTTGCAAGCGGTTGCACTTTATTTTGCACGCGGCTGTAATTTACTTGCTCAGTCGGTGTTAGCTGCTGAGGTCGTAACGGGTTTCTTCTTCCATTCCTGTTGCTCTGTGCCCCCTGTACTGTTCCCATTGTGCTGTAATGTGCACCGACGCCGACTTTATTGAGGGCGATATTGGCACCTAAAATCAAGTTGACTGATTGATTGAACGAATAATATAAAACAATTGAAAAGTGCGCAAAGAAGCATGGGCAGATGCATGCTTCTAATTATATTGACACACAGAGGTACACATGGATTAGGGAATATGCGTAGGTTAGTGACATTATTTAATCTATTAAGAGAAGTAAGCTTGGATGAGTTGCTCGTAGGGACGATGGCTGATGGTCAAGAATAATAATGGAGCGGCAGCCAAGAAATGTTCATACACTGAGATGGTGGAGATGGTGGAGATGGTGGAAATGGTGGAAATGGTGGAAATGGTGGAGATGGTGGAGATGGTGGAGATGGTGGAGATGGTGGAGATGGTGGAGATGGTGGAGATGGTGGAGATGGTGGAGATGGTGGAGATGGAAGAAATCTAGATGGTGGAGATGGTGGAGATGGAAGAAATGGAGGTGGTGGAGATGGAGGAGATGGTGGCGATGGTAGAAATGGAGATGGTGGAGGTGGAGGAGATGGTGGAGATGGAGGAAATCACATTGCAAGATCGTGGCAGGTGGTAGCAGCTTGGAGAAACCTTTATAGAGCAGCGGATTGACCATTGGTTGATGATGACCAGAGTTGGCACCTCACAGCTCTCCACATTACATCTTTCTGGATTGTGTGATGCGGCTTTAAAAAATAAACAACAATCACCTTCAAATGAAATAAAACAATACCGTTAACAATTCCTTATTAAGAATAAGTCATATCATACCTTTTTAAAGAACGTATGAAGGCAGTCAAAGTTCCATTGGTTGGCGTACTTTGGGTTGTAGAGCTTAATTGCTTTCTGTGGAACACAATAAACACACATGCGTACACACACGGGCACAGACACACGATCATTGTAGCCAATAGCTAATATGCATCACATATCCAGCATATAATACTGATGGTGCGTATAATGCTATACATCTCATATACTCTCTGATTAATGGAGCGCCTGAGAGCTTATTATGCACGTCTATGGGAGGGGAAATGGAAATTATTTGTGAAATGCAACGTGACACATATTGCTTTCAAAATTAATTAATAACAAAGAAGAGTTTATTTATATATATGAAGTGGAATTTAAATGGAGGCTTGTCTGAATGGGTGGCGTCATGGATGGAGCCCTCGACTAGCAATTGGCAAAATGGCGAGTTCAAATCCTTTCTCGCGGTCAAATCAGCCCATCATGCCTCCCAAGCTTATAAAACGGATAACGCCCATTTGAAAAAGGGAAAAAAACGATGGCCCCATTGGGACGGTGAACGTTTCGCCCACGTTCGCGCAAAGCTGCCAATCATTGTACGTCAGCGTAAGATTTACGCAAACTCAAAAGTTTCCCCAAACTTTTGAGTTTGGGGCAGCAACAACCAACGGAGATGAGAAGCTGATCGGTGTTCGTTTCATTAAAAAAAATTAACATGTACAGCTACAAAACAATGATGGTGATAAAAAGGGAAATACAGTACCAACAAACAACCCACCCACCCACAGATTCATGGGCATCGAATAAAACGCCAGGATGCGATGCTGCTTAAGATAGTGGGCGCCCTGGCACGGAGAAAAAAAAAGACTGTGTTTTACACAATAAGTGTTTTAATTGCACGTGCGTAATAAATAAAATGAATGTCCATCCATTAAATCGGTGAATGAATCGCACAATCAAACTATTTAAACAATGTATCTTTCCAACCTTGGTTACATATCAGAATCAGAATATTTATTTGTACTGGAGAAATCCGATGAGTTATAAAGCTCTTTTTCACAGATTCCAGGAGGGATGGGTCAGAATGTTTCAACAACAAATACAAAAACACGATAGCAGTGCAAAGTATAGGAAAGGTAAGCAAACCACACAACAATATTAAAATAAAACTAACTATTTTATTTTACCAGGTAAAGCTCACTTAGCTATTACATTTGTTTCTAAATCGACCTGGCCACAAATGATTACTCAACCAAGTGGCTTAGCATGTGGACATTTATAACAGCCAAATAATCGACCCACATGTTTCTAAATATAATTAAAGAAATAAGTATAACCCGTAAAAACAAATTTTTTCACTATAAATCCTTTATATGCGTGGCGGCTAGAGTCCTCTCGTCCTCTGGCTTGAGATGGCTGCCACCTATGGGTCAGATGATTGTCTGGCAGCATTAAACAATTGGTAATTAAATATATTTTTGTCCTAAAAAGTGTAAAATTTTGGAAAAAAATTTCACGAACATTAATTGTCACGCATAACGAGTCTGTGTGGAAAATGTCAGCTCGATTGGATCACGGGAAGTGGGTTAAAAAACGACCGAAAGATTTGCACGGTCCTAAGCAAGCACGCAAGTGAACTTAATATAAAGGATTTAAAAATATAGTTAAATCGCCCCCTTGCTCGAATGAGCAACGATGCAGCTCTCACCTCGACTTGGGAGCCTGAAACAACCTCAGGAGCTAGTTTCTACACACGATCATCGCTGTGGATTGACCACAAAGTGGCACTTCGTTTATTGACCCCAGTTGAATAACGGGGCTGATTAAGTCCCCGGCCAGGATTTGGCCAAAGTCCGACTGGAAACGATGATCGTGCGTTGAGCGCTAATACCGCGTAGTAACTGTAGCCAGGCTAAAAATAACTTCCAAGGGAAAAATCTATCTGTTTATCTGTATGCTAATGATGTTAGTAATACAGCAAGCTATCTGATACAGAAAGTTAATCTTGATAGGGTGTCTTAGTTTGTCTTGTAGAGTGGCGGTCAATTCCACTTAATCACAATAATGCAATAACTCCTAAGAACGAGCGTTCAATAGCATAAAAATTTGTATACAATTGTCAGAGACTAATCCATAATCAATTACGCAATTAATTAGTTTCAAAGATTTCCGACATAGCCGCAAAGTTTGGGTAAGCACTGCTAGCAAAGCACTTATATTAAACACACAATATACAAACATATTTGTATAACCTACAGAAACTGCTGTTGGCGAGCACTTAGTAAGTCAAGCAAGGCCCATGATGGGGAAGCGTTGCCCACAAAACGCCTGGTCTTATTTGTCTCCCCAAATAATGCACGAGATACTCCTTTAAGGCCGAGTCAACTTAGGAGAGGCCCAGTATCAGTTCAAATTTCACTCGCCGCAGATATTTGCCAGAGCAGATAAATGACCTCGGGTCACCTGGTTGGTAGAACAGTGCATTAACAAATGCGCTACGACTTCTCGCGCAATAATATACACGCACATCGCGCATGGTTATTAAATAATTACCGACTATAATCACCCAGAAATGTCTGTCCGTCCCGCGCGTGACATCACTCCACATGAGGCCCACCCCCCCGCCACGTGACATCACTCCACATGAAGCCCACCCCCCCCACGTGACATCACTCCACATGAGGCCCACCCCCTCATTAATATTCATGAGTGGGTGGATTTTTACACTGAATTAAATAATTTATTACGCAAAGTCGCTTCAAATATGACGTTTCTTTACAGAAAGTGACGGTAAAAAATAAATTACGAAGCAGTGCTACATCCCGTGCATGACGTCACTGCAAAAGAGCCCCCCCCCCCCCCCTTCATTAATATTCATAACGCACAAGAAGGTCGCGCACTCCACATGCCGCACCCCACCCCTCATTCATAATCATGAGCTGGTGACCTCACTCTACGTGCCGCACCCCTCCCCAATAACCATTAGCGGGTGACGTCACTCCACATGGGGCAACCACCCCCTCATTAAAAATCATGAGCTGAACAATTTTTCTATTGAATATTTCGGATTTACTGCAATATACACCCGTCCTTGGATGGGCCAAAAAGCTAGTAACTTTTATAACAATGAAAAAGCAAATGTAAATAACCTCGAGTAATAACAACTGGGCAATACTCGTCTCTGTCGTTGATCCAGAAGCTCTAGTGATGGAGATTCCACATTTTCACGTGGGGGAGAGCCGTGGCTGGGAATTGACTATGGTGATTAAAAACTGGCAGCTCTAATTAGGAATGGGCAGTTGCATTAAATGTGATGAGGAACAGACAACCTCGACTGGACACTGGTGGTCTGATTAGGTTTTATTATAGATTATGGGACCAGTGGTTGAGGCTGGGGTTGGGCAAATGAAATTATAGACAGGGGGTTGTGAAGAGGGATGTGATCAAAATGTGTGCTTGTGAAGAGAGATATACACAGTTGTGATTAAGAATGTTTGTAACTAAGAGCACGTGATTGCGATTAGGGTTTGGGTGATTGCTAGGAGGGATGTGCGGTTGTGAGTATTGATGCACGGCTGTGAATAGGGACATGCGGCAACGATTCAAGATATACGACTGAGATCAGCGATGGCCGGATGTCTTGAGTGAAGTGCGGTGGTGGTTACAGCCGGGCAGCTGTAATTTGGGATGTGGCTGCAGAGGAAGGCTGCTGGCGAAGCTGCCATTGCGTTGTGACCATCTGTTTGTCTCCACTTTGCAAGGCAACTGGAGTGAGTGGAATGGAGCACATCCACTGGGCTGCGTTGGGGTTGAAATGCGCTTCAGAATAATTGTAGCCGTCTGATTAAGGCGACGTGAGCAGGAGGTCGAGTGGGTTTAAGTCTCCTGTTTGCACCAGGCTTGATCAACTATGCACGAATTTGTGGGAAAGTCAACAGTGCTTTCTAGTTCATCTTCTTGGTTCTTTCGGTAAAGTCACGTAGAATGGAAATAATAAAATAATAGAAATAAAACGGCCACAACGCAAGCAGCCGTCTGCTTGCGTTGTGGCCGAAAACGTCGTGAGAATTATTTTATTATGTTTTATTTTTATTATTTTATTATTTCCATTCTACGTGACTTTACCGAAAGAACCAAGAAGATGAATCCCTGCAGTCACGAAAGCTTCAAATCGAAATTTAGTGCTTTCTAGATTTGAAGTTTTCGTGACTGCAAGGATCCACACTCTTTGGTTCTTTCGGTAAAGTCACGTAGGTAAAAAAAAAAGTTAATAAAATCACGACGTTTCGACTGCAACACAAGCAACCATCATCAGGTGTGAAAATCACAACTAGAATTTTTTTTTTACTAAAGTGCTTGTCCTTTGGTTAAACTGGCCCCACCCATGGGAAGAGGGGATTGACACCACGAGCTCCGTGAAGTGCAGCCCAACAGTCGGTGCGACCGAGTCGCGGGAGCCACGATGACTTTGACAATTCATTGAAACGCGCAACGCACAAGTGGTTAAACTAGGGCGTGTTTAAATGTTCTTTGAAGTGAGTGGAAATGCCCAAGCCTCATATAGCCAAACTGTGGCAACCTGCAAGAATCTCAGTGGGAGGAAGAATGGCCTCTGTGGTTTATATCAAAGCAGCACCTCTGAATTTGACCTAATTGTAAGCAAATGGTGCGTTTTCTAAAAATACCATGAGCAATCAGGTTTTATTAATGGGGCAATTTTTGGTAGCATGGCCAAGGGTCAGGAGGTAAAAATGTGCAATTAACTTATTAAATGAATAACTTAGCAACCTATTAGTCTATTACTACAGTTAAGACTGCATGCAATTATATTAGTGTTTTGCTGTATAATAGCATTCCAATGCATGTAATTAATTGCATATATGCATCAACGTCAGGTCATAGGTATAATAACATGTTTGGTTTATATATAAACTTTGATTGCAACATTGGAGGTGGCTGGTTGGCTCATGATTCTAATGTGATGCCAATAACCTGGTTCCGAATTTACTTACTCGTTCAAGGAAGTGAGTTTGTTCGATCAAGTAATATTTGGATATCGGTAGAATGGATGGAATGTATCTGTTTTTTTATGTTTA